TTTTTGTCCAATTTTCTGGTTGCTCCAGAGGCCGCAATTATGGCCCGAACTTCGTGAATTTTCACATGGAGAAGGGGGTCGGGCCAAAGAATAAGCATGCCTGTTTTTATAAAGATAGGTCAATATTTAGCGGGTCAAATGGACCCTGATTTTTGTGTGAAAAATTACAAAATTTGTATTCTATGGCGTATATATTTACTCCTGAAGGACATAGATCCGAGAAGTTGATAGTATATCAAGAGGAGTGGCTGACCTTTAAATTGATACAAATCATATTGTCGTAGGTACTCGGATGCGGGAATTACACTTAAATATTTACTGGTGCTTACGTATTCATATATTATTTAGTAGCCAATTACCACATTTTAGGCGGATATATAGCCTGATCCCTTGGAAATGTTCCATAAGGTTCCAGTTATGGTCAAGGACAACGCCTAAAATGTTAGGTGATGATCAGATAATAATTTTTTGGATGAAGTGGACCGAAAACTTAATTATTTGTACTTTTGGAGTCGAAAGCCGAACATCACAACACAACCCACGGTGAAGGGAATATGTACAAGTAAATAGAGGTGCTGTACTGATTATTAGTATCATTTGCTGACCTCTAGTCAGCAAAAGTGTGCAAATATCGTGAAATATTGCCCAACCTCAGAATATAGAACCACAGAAAGTAAGATTTTCATGGAAGTTGTGTAGGGTATCATATGGTCGGCCCCGTCCAACTAAACTGCTCTGCTCAATGTTTTTTTTTTTTTTTTTTTTGAAATTTAGAATGAAGGTCCTCTTAATTTCCGCCATTTAATCCTCGGTTTGGTACTATGTACAACATTTCGTAGCAATCGAATAAACGTTAGCGATATGCCGATCTGTGGTAAGCAATGCGGCTCCAATGTGATCTGCAACGCAATGTAAACATTCAATCCTGTCACTTTTGTCACAATTGAGATCTGGTTGCTATATCAACCATAATTCATATTAGGCAAAGAATTTAAGACATAATGGATAATATCTGTCAGACATGGACACAAACTTTACAGATTGCAGACTTTTTGAACATGGAATTAGAAGCCGGGCCAGATTAATACACGGCATTAAATATTATCTTCCACTCAATTTGTTGCAAACGAACGTAGAAACTTAAACATAAACATTTTCTGGCAAAAAGATATCTGCAATGCCAAAATACATCCACTTTGGTTGGAATATGCGGTTAATCTTTTTTAATGCAGGTGAAAAATACTGAAAATGGAGCGGTATCATCAAAAAATTTCGTCCTCCTTTCCAGGGCTACTATACTATTTCTGACATTTCTAGCTATAGTGCAGAGCGTATAACAATATACAGGTTTAGAAATCTCATATATATTTTCTGAAAGATTTCTTATATAAGGTCCTTTATATTCTTTATATAGATTACCAATAAAAAACAACTATTTATTAGTGGGGAATGTATGGCATTGTCCGCCGAGGGGTAAGGCAGGGAAGACTATAGTTTCGGATCTCGCCACTGATCCTCATCAGTTCCCTTAGTTTTTTGTTGGGATATTCTCCCCAGAAGCTATTAATAGCTTCTTTACAAAAAACCTTTCAAACCCAAATGTCTCTTGTGACAATTCGAAGTTCTTACGTTACCAGCGATACGACCCCAATGAGAAGTTCGTTTCGTTGGCGCCTGACTTCGTGGTCAACAAGGCATTTACAGACAACTACAATACATTTCCCACTGCTATGTGTCGTCACTTTGTAACGAATGCACATAACGTTGTTGTTGGTATTGCTAGTTAAAGCAATAAACCAAACAGTATGACCGTGCCTCGTCTACAACTTCAGTAGTGTTTGGCGGGTTATTTGGGATACCATTTGTATTTTGTTTTTTGCAAAATAGTCAGGCTTAATCCCAGTTTGTTGTTTTTATAAATAAACAACTATTTATAAGTGGGGAATGTATGGCATTGTCCGCCGAGGGGTAAGGCAGGGAAGACTATAGTTTCGGATCTCGCCACTGATCCTCATCAGTTCCCTTAGTTTTTTGTTGGGATATTCTCCCCAGAAGCTATTAATAGCTTCTTTACAAAAAACCTTTCAAACCCAAATGTCTCTTGTGACAAACAAAATACAAACAAAATACAAATGGTATCCCAAATAACCCGCCAAACACTAATGATTACCAATAAATCTAAAACATTTTGTAATATAATAACTATTATATAGACAAAAATTTCATAAATAGACGATTTTCAAACAATAGACATGTTTTATGAAGTAAAGACGGTGTATGTGTCTTAAGTCTTTTGTTTTTCCACAACAAATCTATATTTTATAGCAATGAAATAATTTATGGATTATTAATGCTAATAAAACTCATACATGACACATATATTTGAGTGTTTTGTTTCATTTTTATTGATATCATAATTAGCAAAACTTCAAAAATCAAATCCATTAAAAAAAGTAATGCTGAAAACTAAACAAAACAAAACATCATTTTTATTATGTTTCTTTTATTCACTCAATCGCATTAACAATACAATAAGCTGTCAAATGAATAACATTATCAGATCAATCAATAATACTTTGCAAATTAATTTAAATGCTATGCATAAATAAACACTTGTTGAATCAAACCACGAGAAACAAAATAGCAAAATAAAAGCAACTCACACTTAATTGAAAATGGAAGCAAACATCAACAACAACAGCGACAGCAACAAGTAGCAAACACTTCAAACATGAATGGTTGGATCGATGGATAAACACTTGTGAACGTGTTGTGTTTAGATCACTACCGCCACCTGTTGAGTGTTTGTTGTTTATTTTATAGTAGACAAAAACACAGACAAAAAACACATTTCGAGATGTGGAGGTAGATGTTATGCGAATCATGTCAATATGTATATATTGTTTGTAGAAGACAAGCTTTTAGCAATAATAAAAAACAGCAAAATAATAACAAATTAAAAAAACAACAACAACCTCCACAAAAACGGAAATAAACACAATCGTACAATAGCCATGTGCGATTTTGGCTTTTGATACAGTACTCCAATATGTTATGATATTGGTAAAAAATATATTTATAAAAATCCACGCCTGAAGGTCTTTTGAGGATGTCAGAAAATTTCTTTATAAAAATCCACGCCTGAAGGTCTTTTGAGGATGTCAGAAAATTTCTTTATAAAAATCCACGCCTGAAGGTCTTTTGAGGATGTCAGAAAATTTCTTTATAAAAATCCACGCCTGAAGGTCTTTTGAGGATGTCAGAAAATTTCTTTATAGATATCCACGCCTGAAGGACTTTTGGTGATGTCAGAAAATTTCTTTATAAAAATCCACGCCTGAAGGTCTTTTGAGGATGTCAGAAAATTTCTTTATAAAATTCCACGCCTGAAGGTCTTTTGAGGATGTCAGAAAATTTCTTTATAAAAATCCACGCCTGAAGGTCTTTTGAGGATGTCAGAAAATTTCTTTATAAAAATCCACGCCTGATGGAGGGTCTTTTGAGGATGTCAGAAAATTTCTTTATAAAAATCCACGCCTGAAGGTCTTTTGAGGATGTCAGAAAATTTCTTTATAAAAATCCACGCCTGAAGGTCTTTTGAGGATGTCAGAAAATTTCTTTATAAAAATCCACGCCTGAAGGTCTTTTGAGGATGTCAGAAAATTTCTTTATAAAAATCCACGCCTGAAGGTCTTTTGAGGATGTCAGAAAATTTCTTTATAAAAATCCACGCCTGAAGGTCTTTTGAGGATGTCAGAAAATTTCTTTATAAAAATCCACGCCTGAAGGTCTTTTGAGGATGTCAGAAAATTTCTTTATAAAAATCCACGCCTGAAGGTCTTTTGAGGATGTCAGAAAATTTCTTTATAAAAATCCACGCCTGAAGGTCTTTTGAGGATGTCAGAAAATTTCTTTATAAAAATCCACGCCTGAAGGTCTTTTGAGGATGTCAGAAAATTGCTTTATAAAAATCCACGCCTGAAGGTCTTTTGAGGATGTCAGAAAATTTCTTTATAAAAATCCACGCCTGAAGGTCTTTTGAGGATGTCAGAAAATTTCTTTATAAAAATCCACGCCTGAAGGTCTTTTGAGGATGTCAGAAAATTTCTTTATAAAAATCCACGACTGAAGGTTTTTTGAGGATGTCAGAAATTTTCTTTATAAAAATCCACGCCTGAAGGTCTTTTGAGGATGTCAGAAAATTTCTTTATAAAAATCCACGCCTGAAGGTCTTTTGAGGATGTCAGAAAATTTCTTTATAAAAATGCACGCCTGAAGGTCTTTTGAGGATGTCAGAAAATTTCTTTATAAAAATCCACGCCTGAAGGTCTTTTGAGGATGTCAGAAAATTTCTTTATAAAAATCCACGCCTGAAGGTCTTTCGTTTGAGTAAGTCAGAAAAATTCGGTATAAAAATCCACGCCTGAAGGTCTTTTGAGGATGTCAGAAAATTTCTTTATAAAAATCCACGCCTGAAGGTCTTTTGAGGATGTCAGAAAATTTCTTTATAAAAATCCACGCCTGAAGGTCTTTTGAGGATGTCAGAAAATTTCTTTATAAAAATCCACGCCTGAAGGTCTTTTGAGGATGTCAGAAAATTTCTTTATAAAAATCCACGCCTGAAGGTCTTTTGAGGATGTCAGAAAATTTCTTTATAAAAATCCACGCCTGAAGGTCTTTTGAGGATGTCAGAAAATTTCTTTATAAAAATCCACACCTAAAGGTATGCCGAAATTTTCTTTATAAAAATTCAGGGGTCTTTAAGGGCGGCAGTCTGTATAAAAACTATCTTCTAAATATAAATAATCCTGTTCTTATGGTCGTAACGGTTTCCTGGCAAAATCGTTAAATTCTCGTCTCAAGGAACATATGGAATTTTATATGGAACACACCATTCATTGTTGTTTTCAATGACCCAACATTTTTTCCCATATGAATGTTGATTTTTTTCAATTAAAACTAAATTTATTCGATTTTGTTTTTTTTTTTTCAATTTACAGCTTTGGCATGTTTCATGATACGGCAAAAATTGGCTGTCATCCGCGTGTGGGTTCTATAGTTCACATAATGACGCCAACGTTTGGTGCGGATACCCTGCAAGTTTGTTGGTCAAATTGTAGCCGGAAATTTATAACTCACTTTTTGGAGTAAGTTCTCTTATGGAAGTAGGTCACTAGAATTTCCTAATCAAACACTACCTCCTCTTATGTCATTACAGTCAAGGTTTGGGCGATTGCCTGGATGATGAACCGACAGCATTAAACGAGTATGTCTATCCGGATGAAATGCCAGGAAAGAAATATAATGCCGAATTGCAATGTCGCCTACAATATAATGTGACGGATAGTGAAGTGGAGGCCTGCTCGTCTATGAATGAAATCTGTTCGACATTATGGTGTCGTGTCAACGGCGAATGTATTACAAATATGCGTCCCACTGCTCCGGGAACATTGTGTGGAAAACGTAAGGTTTGTTGTGGTAATTTGTTGTTGAATTCCATTGCGGCTTGAACGAATGTAGATTTTTTTCTTTCCGATTTTTATAGTGGTGTCAAAATGGTAAATGTGTACGCATCGAACCGTTTGAAAAGGTAGATGGCTCGTGGGGTGATTGGTCCGAATGGAGTGAATGTTCTCGCAGCTGTGGTGGTGGTGTTTCTATACAACAGCGTGAATGTGATAGTCCGAGGCCAGCTAATGGTGGTACTTTTTGTATTGGCGAGAGGAAGAGGTAAGTTGTATTTCCTAATAAGAAATTTCGCAGTGTTATTATTTATTTTTATTTTTTGGTTGTTGTTTGTTTTCAGGTATAAAATATGTAATCACCAACCCTGTCCCAAAAATGAGCCAAGCTTCAGAGCCCAACAGTGCGAGAAATATAATGATAAGCCATATCAGGGACATTTCTATAAATGGCTGCCGTTCTTTGATAAACGTAAGTTCTAGACAATGGAATTTTAGACATTCTTTTTAGAAGAAGGTATTAAATTCGTATACGTTTTATAGAAGACCGATTTATAGATGCGTTGTGTGGTTAAAACGAACTTTTTAAGAGAACTTTTTACCCTGCACCATAATGCGGGTATTAAAAATCCCCTAATTCGATCGGCATGCTTATGTGGCAGACTACATGGATTTGTCATACTTAGTTTAGAAAATTAGGTTTGGAACTTCAAGAGGCCGGAATTGCAAAAAATGCTCTTATGACCATGAAAATACCTATAATGACAGGACAGCTATATGGGGGCTAAGTCAAAATATGAATTATGGTGGAGGCTTTCACTCATAAATAATGCGTTGTAATTGAATATTTCTGGCAATATCCTAAAAATAGGGAAAATTCTAATTGAAAGTTTTCTACAAATAAGGGGTTCCGCTTCAAATATGACCTAAAATGGCAGGAACATTTATATGTGATCTATATCAAATAATTGACCTATATTGAAAGTTGTCTACAAATAAGGCTTTTAAACATCAATAATCCGCTTTGATTGGAAAATTGGACCAAAACTTTCAAAATCCCGAAAATGGCTACTAAAAATACGTCTAGGTCCTTCAACATACCGTCGAAATCGAAGGCACTTTGGTGCACCATTTAACTAAAATTGGGCGAAAATATATATCGGAACTATATCTAAATCTGAACCGATTTTTTCGAAACTTACCAAATTTCGTACAAATCGAAAGATATATAGGGGCTTTGGTGCACTATTTTCATAAAATCGGACGAAAATATTCAGGAAAACCGGAACAAAATATATATGGGATAATTTGAAACGATTTTCACGAAACTTAACATACCTCATTTTAGACTTAATTCAGTACGATATGCCAAATTTCGTACAAATCGAATGATATACAGGGACTTTGGTACACAATTTACATTAAATCGGACGAAATATAAATCTAAACCGATTTTCACGAACTTAACATCCACCCATTATTCTAGACTTAATTCAATACGATATGTATAATTTTATGCGATTCGAAATATCGCATCGGACGAAAATATACATGAGAGCTATATCTAAATCTGAAGCGATTTTGACAAAAATTAGTACACATTATAATAGAATCGATTTAGTACGCTATGCCAAATTTCGTGCAAATCGAAAGATATATAGGGACTTTCGTGCATTATTTCTATTAAATCGGACGAAAATATATATGGGAGCTATATCGAAATCTGAACCGATTTTCACGAAACTTAGCACAGATCATTATAAGCTAAATTCAGTACGCTATGCCAAATTTCAATAGGGTTCGTCCTTGGGCAAAACAAATGAGCTGTGCCAAATTTCATCCAAATCGGATCATAAATGCGACCTGTATGTACTTTTTTACAATTTAAAATGCACAGATGAACGGACATGCATAAATCGATTGAGAAAGTGGTTGTATGCATATTCTCGAACGGAACCATGGGTCTGTCTGCACAAAAACATAATACCCTGTACCACAGTGTGGTGAAGGGTATAAAAATGGACCTACATTGAAAATCTTTGCGAAGAAAGTTTTTATCCACCAAAATTCTGGAATCTCACTTCACGAAGAAGTTTTGTAACCCCCAACAACTCGGGATACCATTTTGGGGTGGAATTGACCATGAAAATAGCTAGAATGGGTCGGAACCGGTATATGGGGATCCCTTCAAAACATGAACCTATACAGTACATTTTCTGCGAAGAAATCAATTACCCGCCATCGACTACGATGGGTTTTTTAACTTGCAATAGATAAATTTCCGGATTCTATGAGAGTTTCCTATGTATCGATAGCTCGAGGTTTCAAATTGCCAATATTCATTTATTTTCAGAAAACCCGTGCAAACTCTACTGCAATGATGTGGATGATACGATCATAGCCAATTGGGGTGATATGGTGTTGGATGGAACACCCTGTACTTTGGGTACCAATAATATGTGTATCGATGGCATATGCAGGGTGAGTGTGGATACAAAACTCTTTTTGATATTCTTACTAAATTTAAATTTCCTTTAGAAAGTTGGTTGCGATTGGATTGTTGACTCGGATATGCAGGAGGATCGTTGTGGCATTTGTGGTGGCAATGGCGATCAATGTAAACCGGTCAAAGCAGTCTTCAACGAGACGCTTAAGGTGACAGAAGGTTATGTTGAAATTGTTGTATTACCGGCAAAGGCACGTCATATCGTTATCAAGGAATTGGGAAATTCACCACATTTTCTAAGTGTGGCCAAGGCTAATAGCAGCACCTTTTATTTGAACGGCGACAGTTTAATATCAATGCCGGGGGAGTTTTTCATTGCCGGTGCTGAGAGTTTCTATGATCGGATAGATGATCAGGAAATTATTAAGATACCACAGCCCATTGAACATTCCATTGCTATTTATGTGAGTAAATTGGGAGTTAAAAATTATGAATAATAAATATTAATATGTCCCTTTCTTTGGGCTTATAGATCATTGTCCGCGGCGATGAACCCAATGAGGGTGTCTACTATGAATTTACCTTGCCAGCCTTAAATGCCAGCACAAACAAACACTATTTGTGGAAACTAAGTGATTGGACCCATTGCTCGGTTAGCTGTGGTGGTGGCTTACAATATCGGGAACCCATCTGCTATGAAAATGGAAGAGGTAAGACGTTGGAGAACAGCTCGAGTTTGAATTGTTTTTCTAAATTTTGAATTTTTGATTATTTTTGCAGAAACCCTCGATATTGAATTGTGTTGGGCATTTGCCAAAAATCCCCGACCATTGCGCCATACGAAAAAATGTAATAGCACACCTTGCCCAGCCCATTGGCTGACAGGACCGTGGCAATTTTGCCCGGTTACTTGTAAAAGTCCTGATACACCATTACCGGTGCGTAGACGTTCGGTTATGTGTCTGGACCACCATGATGTCATTTTGGATGATGACAAATGTAATCCGTCCACCAGGCCCATTGATACGGATTTTTGTGAATCCAATTTGCCCGATTGTAGTATAAGAGAAAAATTACGGACACATTTTAGTTAAGCTTAGAATTTCAAGAGAAAAAATAGTTTTATATTTATTAATTTAATATGGACATGAATAGAATAGGAGAGATCTACCTGTTGTATTGGCATTTTAAATTATATTTGAATATTTAGTTATTATCACTCAATAGTATTGTGGGACCTAACTTATTCATCGGTAGGATTTTAGAAAAAAATCTATTGAATTTTTTTAATAGAAATACTAACAAATCCGAAATAAGTCCCTCTCTTTCACTCTGATGGAGAAAATCAAAAATAGTTTAGTACAGATATGCTCTACATATTTTAAATTTTCATGCCAATCTCTCTAGTTTTAAAATGAAAATAAGTTTTTAAATCCATAAGCCCAGTATTTAAGTTTTTTTGTGTATGTGTGTTAGCTGTAAATGTATGTATATTTAAATAACATTATTTATTTTATTTATTTTCCATTACGTTTATAAACAAAATACATTACGTACTTAACACTTTATTTATAGTTCTAAACTAATACATCTCTCCCACTCCCTCTAGGCAGTTATAGTCTTCTAGACATTATGAACTTTTCAAAAAAGTTTCTTTAACATATATTTTTTACTATACTCGTTAGAAAGAAATTAAGCTCTAGTTTGTAAGTTGTACATTCAGGAAATCTCTATTTTTATATTCAGTTCAAAACATTTTAATTGTAGTTGTATTGTTTTAATTTTATAATAAATTTAGAAATAACTAAGAGAAGACAAAACAACATATGCTGGATGTTTATTTTTTAACAGACTCTATTTATACCCTTCAACACACTGTGGTACAGGGTATTATGTCTTTGTGCATATGTTTGTAACAGGCAAAAATAATTGAGATAGACCCATGTTTCCTTTTGAGAATATGATTAGAATCACTTTCTGAGTCGATTTATGCATGTCCGTCTGTCTGTCCGTCCATGTATTTTTGTGAACAAAGTACAGGTCGCATTTATGATCCGATTTGGATGAAATTTGGCACATGTCACATATTTGGCACAAGGACGAACCCTATTGAAAATCGGTTCAGATTTAGATATAGCTCCCATATATATTTTCGTCCGATTTAATGTAAATGGGGTACCAAAGTCCCTATATATTTTACGATTTGCACGAAATTTGGCACAGCGTACTGAATTAAGTCTAGAATGATGTTTGCAAAGTTTCGTGAAAATCGGTTCAGATTTAGATATAGTTCCTATATATAGTTTCGCCCGTTTTTAGGTAAATAGTCCACTAAAGTCCCTATATATCTTTCGACTTCCACGAAATTTGGCAAAGCGTACAGAATCAAGTATAGAATGATGTGTGCAAAGTTTCGTGAACATCAGTAAAGATTTAGTTATAGCTCCCATATATATCTTCGTCCGATTTAAGGTAAATGGTGCACCAAAGTCCCTATATATCTTTCGATTTCCAAGAAATTTAGCATAGCGTACTGAATTAAGTATAGAATGATGCATGCAAAGTTTTGTGAAAATCGGTTCAGATTTAGATATAGCTCCCATATATATTTCATCCGATTTAAGGTAATTGGTGCATCAAAGACCCTATATATCTTTCCATTTGCACGAATTTTGGTATAGGGTACTGAATTAAGTCTAGAATGATGTTGCTAAGCTTCGTGAAAAGATCCATAGCTTGGCCGATTGACACAACGTACTGAAGTAATATAAATTAGTCTCTGGCAAGTTTCCCTGAAATCGGTTCAGATATAGATATATAACAAACATTCTACGTCTGTTAGGATACATATGTAGAATATACCCAAAGTGTTGAAGGGTATCATATAGTCGGCCCATTCCGACTTTACTACTTTCCTTACTGGTTTTATCATAATTAACTTTTAATAGGTTATCTTGAAAACAGTGTTCTATTAGGATATTCGTATGGTAATTGAAGAAGTTATCAAATATTCGCATTTATTGTATCAGCATCAAGTGACTGCAAGAGTGCTTCTCAAACTTTAAACGCATTTTTCTCCAAACTGTGATTTTACGAATGAAGGGTACGATAACTAAACTAATAATATCATCCTTATTTATTTGTATACCCTCCACCATAGTATGGAGGGTATATTAAGTTTGTTTTCCCGCTTGTAACGCATCGAATAATCATTTCCAACCCTTTAAAGTATATATATTTTTGATCAGCGTAAAATTCTATGACGATCTAGTTGCGTGTAGACGTACGTCTGTCCATCTGTCGGTTATAAAACGAATTGAGCCTAAAACGAATTGAGATTTATCGCCAAAATGTTGCATAGAGTTGCCTTTTGTCTGCAGGTAGGTCATAACTCTCATATAAGGTTATCCCCCAATTTTCAGTATTTTGGGGCTCTTTAGCGCCTTTTTCAACCGAATTCGATCAAATTTGATGTATTTGGTTCTTATTGGGTTCTAAATTTCTCCAGTAAAAATTACACATATATTTCCACTTTTTCCTGTATCCCCCATATAAGAGTACCCCCCATTTTTGTTATTTTAGGGATTTTGAGCTCGGGGTTTTTCAAACGAATTCGCTGTTATTTGGTATTTTGTAGTCGTATATAGTAAAAAATCTCCCTCCTAAAAGTTATTAATATTCTCCCCTTTTAACCGTTTCACCAAACACCCCATTTCCACAATTTTGTACCGTGTTTTATGTCTTTGTGCATATGTTTGTAACAAGTAAAAGGGAACCAGCTAGGGGTATGGTTTCTTTTGAGAATATGCATAGAATCACTTACTGAGTCGATTATGCATGTCCGTCTGCCCATCTGTAGATGTTAAATTGTAAACAAAGTACAGGTCGCATTTATGATCCAAATGAGATGAAATTTGTCACAGCTCTCTTATTTGGCCCAATGACGAACCTTATTGAGATGAGAGAAAATCGCCTCAGATTTAGATATAGCTCCCATATAAATTAGGTTGGGAAAAAGAAATTCATTATTTTTATATGAACTTCGTCTCAGATTTAGATATAGCTCCCATATGAATTAGGTTGGGGAAAAAGAAATCCATTATTTTAATATGAACTGCGGAATGTCCGATTTGGGCCAAATATGCATATGCCGTTTTAGAGTTAACTTCATAATGCCTCTCTCATAGAAGTCCTGCTCTCTATTTGCAAAAAAACTCTAGTAGTCGATTTTCACAATACTCCCTAGATACAAAATTTTTATCATTAAAGAAATTTGCAATGCAAGAAAAATATGATAATCGGTCCGGACTGTATGGCGGATGCATTAAAACTTGTCCCGGTGAAACACTACACCTCTCCTGTTGGCCAATTCTGGCTGTTTCTGGTCAAATGGAAATTGTTTTACACAGGTTTATGGTCGATTCTTAGCTAGATGAATCCAATTAGTTTAAATTTACACATAACAAGTGAAAAAACGCTAAGTTCGGCCGGGCCGAACTTTGGATACTCTCCACCATAGATATACTGACAGGTACTAGGAGGTACCGTTATATGGGGGCTACCAGAAAAAAGTGGACCTATATTTATAATTTTTTGTGGAGACTTTTAGTATCCAATAAGAACCCAATGTAGCAAATTTCAGTGAATTCGGTTGAAAACGCGCTCAAGAACCCCAAAATACCGAAAATTGGGGGTATCCTTATATGGGAGCTATGCCTAAACGAGGACCGATAAAGCTCATCTTCGAACTTGACCTGCCTGCAAACAAAAGACGCTAGAGTCATTACAACTGACAGACGGACTGTCAAACGGACATGGCTATATCGTCATAGAATTTTACGCTGATATATATATATATATACTTTATAGGGTCAGAAATGATTATTTAATGAGTTACAAACGGAAAAAACAAAATTAATATACCCTCCATACTATGGTGGAGGGTATAAAAAGGAAAAGTCGCACCAAGCTTTAAAAGTTTCAAACAGAGTCAGGGGGGCATTAAAATGTCGCAAATTGAGACTTTAATCGCACAACGGTAATCCTTGTAGAGGGTATCCAAAGTTCGGCCCGGCCGAAATTAACACCTTTTTCATTTGTAAAAAATCCGGAAACCATAGAGCCCTGGTGTAATGTTAATATGAAATCGGACAAATCGAAAAACGATATAAAGCAAATTTGACACACGCCATTTGGTATTGGAACGATGTGCAAAATTAAATCGAATACACGTAGGTAAACCATTTACAGTTAATCGACGAAAATATATATGACAGCGTATCTTGGGTCTAGATTGCCGAATGATATGGCTATGGGTTGAATTTTAAAAGACAAATGTTTTGTGTATGTCCATGTTTTGACATAGACTTCTTTTGACGAATTTAGTCATATTTTCTCACCGAATCAGCTGCAATTTGGCATTCCGAATTCTTGGAGAGTTTTAATCATATTTGTCGAAAATATTCAATATCGCTCCATGTTTGGACATAACCTTCCCCCTTTATTTTTGCCTGTTTCTTATGAAAGGGATGTAATTTGGTATACCAGTTTGTTAGAGGGCGAGAAATATTTTTTTAGAAAATTTTCGATATAAGCCTATATATCCATATAATCCCCGCCTCATTTTTTCGCAGTTTGTGTGTCTAAGCCGTATTTTGTAACCCACGTAGCTGTAATTCGGCATTCCAGGCTCTTGGAGGGCGAAAAATATCTCTTTAGAAAATGTTGAATTGTCTTTCTAATTTTATTACGCATTTCTGGTTAAAAAAACTGCCTCCAATGACATAGACATATGCGACAAAATGTATATTGAGAAGATGTTTTTGAAAACATATGTATGTGGATACGTGTATAACAGAGGTATGTTATGGCAAAAATCTCACACATATTTTAGATTGTTGATAAATCTGGAACGCTTTGGGATATTTTGCAAATTCAATCGGGGTGCATAGCTCACAATAATAGTCTTTAGTCTTAGACTTCCCCACACTGTGGTACAGGGTATTATGTCTTTGTGCATATGTTTGTAACAGCAAAAGGAAACGAGATAGACACATGGTTCCTTTTGAGAATATGCATAGAATCACTTTCTGAGTCGATTTACGCATGTCTGTCCGTCTGTTAGTGTTAAAACAAGTACAGGTGTGAACAAAGTACAGGTGGCACTTGTGATCCGATTTGGATGAAATTTGACACATGTCACCTATTGAAATTGTTTCAGATTTAGATATAGCACCCATATCTATTTCGTCCGATATAGGCACCAACGTCCCTCTATATTCTTCGATTTTCACGAAATTTGGCATGTGGTACTAAACTAAGTCTAGAATGGTGTGTGTTAAGTTCCGAGAAAATCGGTTCAGATTTAGATATAGCTCCCATATATATTTTCGTCCGATTTAATATAAAGGGTGCACCAAAGCCCCCATATATCTGTCGATTTTCACGAAATTTGGCATGGCGTACTAAATTAAGTCTAAAATGATGAACCTGAAAATTCGTTCAGATTTTGATATGCAAATTTTGCTCCAAAATTCCTGTATATCTTTCGATTTCTACAAAATTTGGCATTACTTACTGAGTTGAGTCTAGAATGAGGTGTGTTTAGTTTCGAGAATATCGATTCAGGTTTAGATATAGGTCCCACGTATATATTTTCGTCCGATTTTAGGTAAAGGGTTTGTCGGATTGACACGAAATTTGCACATTTGCACATATTTCGAACAGGTGATTGAGGCTATATTTATACCCTTCACCACACTGTGGTACAGGGTATTATGTCTTTGTGCATATGTTTGTAACAGGCAAAAGGAAACGAGTAGACCCATGGTTCCTTTTGAGAATATGCATAGAATCACTTTTTAAGTCGATTTAAGCATGTCCGTCCGTCCGTCCGTCTGTCTGTCTGTCCATGTATTTTTGTGAGCAAAGTACAGGTCGCATTTATGATCCGAATTGGATGAAATTTGGCACAGCTCATTTGTTTGGCCCAAGGACGAACCCTATTGAAATTGGGAAAAATCGGTTCAGATTTAGATATAGCTCCCATATATATTTTCGTCCGATTTAATGTAAATGGTGTACCAATGTCCCTATATATCTTTCGATTTGCACGAAATTTGGTATAACGTACAGAATTGGGCCTAGAGTGATGTATGTTAAATTTCGTGAAAATCGGTCCAGATTTAGATATAGCTCCCATATATAGTTTCGTCCGATTTAATGTAAATGGTGTACCAAAGTCCCTATATATCTTTCGATTTCCACGAAATTTGGTATAACGTACTGAATTAGGCCTAGAGTGATGTCTGCCAAATTTCGTGAAAATCGGCCCAGATTTAGATATAGCTCCCATATATATTTTCGTCCGATTTCATGTAAATTGTACACCAAAGTCCCCATATATCTTTCGATTTGCATGAAATTTGGTACAACGTAATAAATTGAGCCTAGAGTGATGTCAGCCAAGTTTCGTGAAAATCGGTCCAGATTTATATATAGCTCCCATATATAGTTTCGTCCGATTTTATGTAAATGGTGCACCAAAGTCCCTATATATATTTCGATTTGCACGAAATTTGGTATAACGTACTGAATTGAGCCTAGAGTGATGTCTGCCAAGTTTCGTGAAAATCGGTCCAGATTAAGATATAGCTTCCATATATAGTTTCGTCCGATTTCATGTAAATGGTGCACCGAAGTCCCATATATCTTTCGATATGCACGAAATTTGACATAACAAACTTAATTGAGCCTAATTAATTTCATGTAAATTGTGCACCAAAGTCCCATATATCTTTCGATTTGCACGAAATTTGGCATAACGTACTGAATTGATGCTGGAATGCGTTTTGAATTTAATCCAGAATAACGTGTGCCAAGTTTAGTGAAAATCGGTTGAGATCTAGATACAGCTCCCTTATATTATAGATTGATTTTAAGTAATTGACGCACCAAGGAACCAATATATGGCTTATAGGAACAAAACGTACTGAAATCAGTATAACCTAACCTGTGACAAGTTTCGTTGAAATCGGTTCATATTTGGATATGGCTTCCATATATAAGTGAATTGTGCATCAAACTACTCATATTTGTTAGATTGACATCAAATTTTGCACAACGTACAAAATTGGGTATAGAATAACGTAGTTGGGTTTTCTAGAAGTACAGACCAAGCCCAACGGATGACCTTTTGATATTTGTGTGAAGTCGATTTACATACTTTTGTTCCATTGTAACAAACGAATGACATGTTTATGTCGTTTCACATTTAGATAAATATCACATATTTTATTTCATCCAATTTCATGATAATAGTCCTGTTTAATATACCCATAGTGGTGAAGGGTGTCATATAGTCGGCCCCGTCCGACTTTACTGCTTTCCTTACTGGTTTTAACAGTGCGGTAAATCACTAAGCACAAAATAGTACGATAGCGGTGATGGCCAAACACGTTTTTTCTTGTTCTCTCGTTTCGTTAGTCATTTTTGTTGATGATCTCTCAGTTACGCTCTCACACACTTACTCTTAATTTAGTTCTGTTCAACACTGCTATAAATCGATTGAAATTAAATTTAGCATAGGTTGCAGAAAGGTGTATGTCCCTTCGAGGGATCATTGACAAGAAAGATGTATGTTCCTTCGAGGGATCATTGACATGAAATTCTTAGGATACATATGTACAAATACATAAAGTGGTGAAGTGTATCATATAGTCGGCCCATTCCGACTTTAATACTTTCCTTACTGCTTTTCTATTTAGGCCATTGGGAATATATTCAGTGGCTTATATTCAGGTAATAGTTACATTAATTTGATCATATTTTTCATTACTCATAACTTTGGAATAAATTAAACAATAACCGAATGTAATATGGCATAAAAGTTTATACACAGGCGTGCATTTTAAAATAATAATTTTTCAAGCACCCAATACAAGTGATGCTTTTTAAACAATACTTTTTTCAAGCGCGTAGATTTTTAAATAACATTTTTTCAAGCACCCTGCCAGACAGGCCCAAATGATGATTAGGTATATTTTTTGTCGTAACAAATCCATAAAGCTAAGGGTATAACGAGCCGATATAGCCCTCACATATTGCTCGATATGGTTATGATTTAATGTTGGTACTTTTTTATAAAAAAAATATTGAAAATCTTCAAAATTATTTTCAAAACACATTAAATGTGTGTATGGAATGTATTTGTCTATATCTATACACTATTTTTTTGGGCTTACAACAATTTATAAATATAACAATAATAATAATACAATTGCATTTGCGACAGTTATATAAGTAGATCTACTTAAGGAAAATTTATTTCAAAGACTTGTTGTGGTTCTTTTTTGTTAAAAAAATTCTTTTGGTTTGATTAATACTAATATTTGTCACATTAGAAAATATGAATATATATTTTGTTGACAGTGAAACACAGTTATAAATGCTACCGCTTGAGATAAATGGATAGCGATTGATTCGTAAAAAAACTATTTTAATAAATATTTATTTTAACAAACTATTCGTTATAACGTTGTTTCACTGTATTTTTCTTATTTGTCTTTTTGTATGAAATATTTAAATTGATCTATCACAATCTTAACTAATTTTAAAGGTAAGTATTTTAGAATCTAGTATTGTCTGGCATTTTTGTGAAAAATGCCACTTTATCCTTGGGGACTTTGTAATTGTGTATCCAACGGCTGCCTTTGCGCAATGAACCATCGATGCCATCTTTCCAAACACCTTGTGGGAGGTATACTGAAATTGGAAATGAAAAAAATTTATGTTAGATATCAAATAATAAAATATGGAAGTCAATTTATTTTATTGGGGAAAATTTTAACAACCATTTGTGGAAATGATAAAATTAAAATAATTTCAATATATAGAATACCTCGAAGAGATGTTTTGTATATAGAACACTAGATCAGAGAACTTTAATAAACTTTAGAAATGTATTATCTAGGCAAAATGCATTGAATAACCACACTTTTCAGAAGACTTTTCATGGTCCACATTTTCGAGAGATCTTATTGAATTTTGTTTGCGTCTGTATTTCATGTAGAAGATCTCTACAAGAGCACGACTACTATCTATGAAACACCTTCTATATACAAAACTCCTCATGAGAGCCATGTATCTGCAGAAGTCTCAATACATTTGATGACATGGGTATCAGTTCACTAGAGGCGTTTCTATGAGGTCTTCCATTATTGAATACCTCATGGGAGCTTCTTACTTCATGAGGGCCTTCTATATAAGGAAGACTTTATGATGCTCCTTTATTTAAAGAAGACCTCGGACGGCTTTATGTCTATAGAATACCTCATATATACAAGACCTCAAAGGGTTCTTCCAACATGAATACCTCCTGGGAGCTTCTTACTTCATGAGGGCCTTCTATTTAAGGAAGACTTTATAAAGTTCCTTTATTTAAAGAAGACCTCGGACGGCTTTATGTCTATAAAATACCTCATATATACAAGACCTCAAAGGGTTCTTCCAACTATAGAAGGCCCTTAAGATGTAAATCGTCTCAAAAGATCTGACTTCCTAAGCCTTTTGTGTATCAAGGCCTCATGAGAAATTTCCATCTATAGAGGTCTTCCATTATTTAATACCTCATGGGAGCTTCTTACTTCATGAGGGCCTTCTATATAAGGAAGACTTTATGATGCTCCTTTATTTAAAGAATACCTCGGACGGCTTTATGTCTATAAAATACCTCATATATACAAGACCTCAAAGGGTTCTTCCAACTATAGAAGGCCCTTAAGATGTAAATCGTCTCAAAAGATCTGACCTCCTAGGCCTTTTGTGTGTCAAGGCCTCATGAGAAATTTCCATCTATAGAGAACATCATGAGGGTCTCAGAACTACAGAACTCCTTCTGAGAACCTTCTATCTGCAGAAGTCTCAATATTGATCCCATGGGTGCCATAATTTCTCTAGAGGCTTTTCTATCTTCCATGAGGGCTTTATATTTATCTAGACCTCTGGTCCATATATGGAATACCTTCATGGGGACTTCTAACTTCACGGGGGCCTCCTATATAAGGATGACCTCACAAGGGCTATATATAGTAGACCATTGATACCATGGGTATTATTTCTCCAGATGCTTTTCTATCTTCCATGAAAGCTTTATATTTCTTTAGACCTCTGGTCCATATATGGAATACCTTCATGGGGACTTCTAACTTCACGGTGGCCTCCTATATAGGGAAGACCTCACAACGGCTATATATATATATATATATATATATGTAGAAGACTCATGCGAATCTTTTATCTATAGAAGACTTCATGAGGGCCTCTTATTTTCAGAAGATTCCATGAGAACCATATAACTTCTTAAGAGCTACGATTTCTTATCAACAGGAGTTCTAATGAGAGTCTTCTCAATCAGGAATACCTTCTAAGTCTTCAAAAAAGTCATCTACTTTTAGAAAACGCCATAAAGGTCACAATAGATGCCATCTTATATCCATAAAAATATTTTTGGACGACATCTTTATAGAAGGACGTCTATAAACATAGGTCTTCAATAATGTATCTTTAGGTCTCTAAAAAACCTCCTGAAGTTTTACACAGGACTTCGTGAATGTCATATTCCTATAGAATGTCCTCTGTCCTAAAGGTCCCCTTTCTATAGAAGATATCATTATGACCTTCTAGCCATGGAAGACCTGATGGAGATCTTATGTCTATAAAAGACTTCGTTAGGGTCTATCTACAAAGGGTCTTACGAATACCTTTTACCCATTGAAGGCCTCATAAGGGGTACTATACAGGCCTCTAAATGTCTTTCAGCCATAATAATCAGTATATGTTTCTCTTCTACATTTTGAGATATCGAAAATGGTGCTTTATCCATATATCTTATCTGGCTGTCTCCTTTATGTAGATAAAATATCTCTGGACGACGAAAAATATATCTGGACGACGAAAGAACAGATCTCAAACATATTTTTTATCAACAAAGACCTCCGCAGATTCACCAATTTGTATAATTCCATAATTGTCATAATAAAAATCCTTCAACTTACCTTCTCTTTCCTCCACATTGGGTTCCAAAATCGGAGCGACAATTAACATTTCACCCAATGAAAATTCATCGGATATACTCAAACACGCGGGATCGTGGGGATCTAACATCCATAGGGGTCGTACCAAAGGCAACCCCTCATTCATCGATTCACTTAGGCATTTCCGTAGAACTGGAATGACATTTTGCTGACGAATCAATGCCAAATCTTTGGCCAAATTTTTAACATAATCTCCTTGATAATAGGTGGGCAATTGACTAAATTGCATGGCAGGCATAAAGGTCATCAGTTGTAACCAACGGACATATAACTCTTCATCCGGTAATGGTGGTTCACCCAATGAATAAAATGAAATCATTTTTGTTAGCGTCTTATTCAATGAATAATCTCCGCCCACAGCTCCGGGTAGGACAAATGGATAACCAATGACACCATAGTTTAATACCGTGGACATTACCTCCTTCAAACCTTCCCATGACGAATTAATGGGTGGTGTACTGAGGAAGGCTGGCGGCTTGGGTACTGTACTTGCCGTGGAGACACCAATGAAACCCACCGATTCTAGACTTTCGGTGAATAGTTTGGCATACATATCCGGGTTGTCCAGGGTTTGTCGACATTGATAGTAGTGGGGGAGGTTGTAACCCGTACCTAAATCCAAATAGAAACTATTTACTTTATATTCCGCTTTGAGGCGTTCCAATTTTTCTTTAAGCCAATAGACCGATGCATTATTGGTGATATCCAGGACACCAGCACTGGAAGAGCTCTTGTATCGAGTCAAGGCAGGAATGCTACGTTCCGAATGACGTTCATAGATCAACAACTTCTTGCGTACAGCCTCCTTGAAGTTTTCACTATCCGTTGAGATGAACGGCTGTATGGTAAAGACAATTTTGAAACCACGACGATGTAATAGATCAATGGTCTTATTTAACGTGGGGAAACGATTTTGATCCACAGTGAAGTCGCCCATATTTGCCTGCCAAAATTCATTGATCAATATATGCCCCAATGGCAGACCCATAGCAATAAGATCTTCGGAATAATTGTAAATTGTTGTTTCATTCAACGAGGCCATATCCTCGCCATGTGGTGTACGCCAAACTGGTTCTTGTATGAGCGAATAAATTACCTCCATATCGGCTTCCTTGAGGCCATCCCACAGACTTTTCTGTGTCATTAGCATATGCAGACTCCTCATATCTTCCGTAGTGCAGATTTTATAATCCAATTGCGGCAACTCCGTCAGATGATTTACAAAAGTAAAATCATCATTTTGAGCCCTCAAACAAAATTCATTTGTTGTCTGATTCACCGACACCTGCAGTGGAGTCTTATCATTGACCTGTATCGCCACACCAATGGAATTGATGAAATATCTCTTAACACCATTACCGAATTGATGCACTTTCAGATCACCACTTGAGAAGGGAGCAAAATCAAAATGATCATTACTCAGTGACCACTCCTTAGATTTGGTCATGCCGCCACCAAACCATAGACCATTATTACGCTTCAATTCATAACAATCGGTGGGATAATTCCGCGGACTCAATGCTTGCCAATTAATGGTATAGCAACGAAATACATCCATATCTTGAAAATTCATATACAGTCGGGCTATACCATTCCATTCGATGCAGATGCTACCATCCTGTTTTCGATGGTCCTCTAAACAGTGATAGGGTTTCGTATCCATACCGATTGTTTTACCCAATAGACCGGAGATGACTTCTTGTTCGTCGTGACTTAGAATTCTCAATACTCGATCATTGCTATTGAATTTGATTTTTTCAAAATATGAATGGGTCATTAGTTTCTGATGGTAGCCAACATAGGCAAAGCCGACCTGAAAAGAAAGAACACAAATATTTAGATAATAAAGGATAAGTAAAAAAGATAAATTAATTATAGGGAAGACCTCTTGAGAATGATCTATAAAAAGGACTTATATATAAATGATCTCTTCAGAGCCTCTGTCTATGGAATACGTGATCCAGGTCCTCCAATTTTCGAACACTTTTTGTTCCATAAGTGGAAGAGGACTTCCAATTGTAGAATACTTTATGAAGGCCCTATAAAATCTTCACGAAAATCGTATACCAATTTGAAGACCTCTATGAGGTCAGCCCATACATTACTTTATCTATGGAGGTCTTCAAATGAAAATTTTCACACTTACCAAAAATATAACCATAAAGAACATAATAATCACAAAGATTTTTATTTTATAATCTTTTGTTTCTCGTTTCTTTTTTCGTATCATTTGCGGGAAGGCCTAGAAAAGAAAGACGAATTTCAATAACAGATCCAAAGAGACGTTAATTCATTTCAGCTTACCTGCATTTTCTCTCTTAGCAAACTGGCCAGAGAATTTACACTGGTAATTGAGGCCTGATTACTGGCCACACTGTACGCATCAAAATCACTGGCCAACATTTCTTTGTCGTTTAAGCGCAGGGCTGGCAATGGGGCAATGGAAGCTCGACGGCGCGTACGGAAACGATCTCTGTGAATAGAAAAATACAAATATTTATTAGAGTGATATTCGATATTTTTATTTTTGTATTTTTTTCAAAATAGTAGAAATAAGATAATACTTAAGATAATCAAAGGTCTAAAATGTGAAGTTATTTTTGATTTAAAATTGAACATTTTTCATATTTCTATTATTTATTTCTACCCACTCTAATGTCTTGAAAAAATTCCAATGTAAATAAGATAAGGTGTATCCTCAATTTGGTAACAATAAAATACATATAAAGAAAGATAACATTTTATTAACACCTTATTTAAGAGTAATAACACTTTAAAGATGCTATTATCAACAAAAGCACAATATCGGAATGAAGGCAATAACATAGGTAAACGAAAATAATATACACTATAAACCTTAGCTAAAAAAATTATTTATAAATATATACTGAATACACAATATAAATAGAAGTAAGAAAAAATGTTTATTAAAATTTTGTATTATTCAAAATTTTATAAAAAAAAAAAATTAATTCCCAGTTCTTAGTTTTTAATTAAAAAATAAAATTGATATGATTATGCGTAAAAATTAGAAATCATCAATCCATCTAATTGTTGGACAATGCACTAACAGACTTATCTGTGGCACCCAGTTTCTCACCCACCATAACTCTAGAATGTCAAATAACAGATATACTTTTCCATAAATGTATATTGCGATCTATTCGACAGATCTCGGACATGGTAAAATCAACATAGAAAAATTCCTTTGATCAAAATTATACCGAAAATGGGGCGAGACCTTTATGTTGAAGCTGTTTCAAATCTTGGATATAAATACAATTTTCCGCAAAATGTTTTTTACCCTCCAATTTCCCCGAATGACAAATTACAGCCCATATATGGGGCTAAAACATTCTAAATACTGACATTGGGCACTACACTTTTATAGGGGAATATGTTCAACTATGGGCCTATATTGAAAACATTTTATATGCATGTATGTCAGCCTTCAGGAGACCTTTTATGAAATTAACCCTTTGAGCCTCGAACTTTTTCCGTAATCATACAAAAATTTTCTGTTCACAGATTTAATGCAACTATCCTAGATAGGATATTTGACATCGCTACATCCTTGCATTCGGGAGATACAGGACATTCTTTCTGAAAAATGAAAGCGCAATATCAAGATAACCAAATGCAAATTTGACGAAATTTTTTTTTTAAATTACTCCCTATATTCTGTTTTACAAGAATGAAAAAAAAATTCTGATGGCAGAATTCGTTCGGAGCGATTTAAATAATTTGGGCTGTATACACAAATTAGTACTGTACACATTTGCTCTCTTCTCTATATTAAAATGCTCGGAACTATACCAAAAATTTTTATTTTTTTTTAAATTTTTCTTGTGATATGTGTCGTCCATAATCAGGTCTTGACATGGGGAATCCAAAGAATGCATATTTACAAGCTGTATAATAAATATAAGCTCTAAAACATTTTGTTGTCTGTGGGCAACATTGGGCCATAAAGGGTTAAAGACACATCCGCGACTATATCCCCCAAATTACCGAAAATAGGTGGATACCGTTATATAGGAGCTATACCAAAACGTTGACCTATATTGATAATTTGGTAGGCAGATTTGACATTCCTGAAAACTTCTGTTCACCCCAAAAATCTTGTTGCACTGTGTAGTATAATTTTTATACCATTCACCACACTGTGGTACAAGGTTTTATGTCTTTGTGCATATGTTTGTAACAGACAAAAAGGAAACGAGATAGACCGATGGTTCATTTTGAGAATATGCATAGAATCACTTTCTGAGTCGATTTTCGTCCGATTTAAGGTAAATGGGGCACAAAAGTCCCTATATATCGTTCGATTTGCAGGAAATTTGGCATAGACCACTGAATTAGGTCCAGAATGATGTGTGCCAAGTTTGGAGAAAATCGGTTCAGATTTAGATATAGCTCCCATATATAGTTTCTTTAGATTTAAGGTAAATGGTTCACCAAATTCCCAATATATACTTCGATTTGCACGAAATTTGGCATAGACTACTGAATTAGGTCCCGAATATTGTGTGCTAACTTTCGAGAAAATCGCTTCAGAATTATATATAGCTTCCATATATATGTTCGTCCGATTTTATGTAACTGCTGTAACAAAGTCCCTATATATCTTTCGATTTGCATGAAATTTGGCACAGCGTACGGAATTAAGTCTAGAGTGATCTGTGCCAAGTTTCGAGAAAATCGGTTCAGATTTAGATATAGCTTCCATATATATTTTGGCCCAATGTTACGTAAATAGTACACCAAAGTTCCTATATATCCTTCGATTCGAAATTTTGCATAGCGTACTGAAATAAGTCTAGAACGATGTGTGTTAAATTTTGTAAAAATCAGTTTAGATTTAGATATAGCTCTCATATATATTTTCGTCCGATTTAATGTATATCCTCCGATTTGCACAAAATTTGGCATATCGTAGTGAATTAGATTCTTAGATTCGTACTGAATTAAATTCTTAGATTGCTTAGATTCGTGAAAATCGGTTCAGTATTAGATATAGAAATGGTGCACCAAAGTCCTTTATATTCTTCGATTTGCACGAAATTTGGCAGAGCGTACTGAATTGAATCTAGAATGATGTGTTGTAAGTTGAGACCGTTATTGTGTTTTGTTGAAATTGGTGCAGATGCAGCCATAGCTTCTATATGTATTTCGAACGGGTATTTGATAGATATTAAATTTTTATCGTTTTCCATAAATTTGTCCCATGGTATGCAGACGACTTTAAATCTGTCCGAATGAAATTAAATTTAGCATAGCTTGTAGAAAGGCATGAGTATGTTCCTTAGAGGGAACATTGACATGCAATTGTTAGGATATATATATGTACAATATACCCAAAGTTGTGAAGGGTATCATCGTTGTGAAGGTACTTTCCTCACTGGTTTTTATTGGTTCAAATATCTATATAGATCTAACATTTAATTTCGCCCGATTCCATTTCAATGGTTCTCCATATAACATATTAGCAAATCTTGTATGTACCCAAAATGGTGAAGGGTATCATATAGTCGCCCTGTCCGACTTTTGATTTTTCCTTACGAGTTTTTATTAACAATAATATGCATATAAATTAAAATCTGATTTTTCGTCTTGTGATATTTTGTTTACGGTTCAAGGAAATAAGGAAAAAATACGTACAAGGAATAGAAGTAGAGGTAGGGTATGTTTTAAAATGTTTCCACATTTGGTTTGACTGAAAACATTTCATCTCAAAAATAACCTGCAATAGGCTATTTTTTCAGGAACTCCAAAGCTACCAGAAGAAAATTCATAAAAAAAACCCGGCATGAACTTTCATCCCTATGAAGATTTTTCGATCTCCAAAATCTTGTTGCACAGTGTAGTAGAATTTTTATTATTATTACTGAATAAAATCTCCTTCCATTATATGTTGGGATTTTCTCATTATTTTATTGTAAATAAAACTATGTCAATATATAAATCGCAAACAAATAAATAACATTGTTTTGGATTCTTATCGAAAACATCAAACAATTAAATTTATCATTTAGTTAGTAAAAGTTTCATTATTATTTGTTCATAAAATATTAGTCAGTATGTGTGTTCTTATTTAAAACATTTGATTGTCAATACATTCCAAATTATTTGTCTTTGATGGCATCAGGTGACATGAAGGTGATATTCTCAGAAGATAATTAAATAATTAACTTATATATTTAATTTAATCTGTTTTGTTATTATTTTTCAACATATCGCTCATTTCCTGCAAGACCGGCATACATTAAAAATCACAAATGTTCAGCTAATGATGCAGATTGTTCGCTACATCAAACTTCGTGTTGTGTTAATATTATATTTCAGAATAATATCTCATACACACTAGGAAGCTGTCGAAGATCTTCATTTCCTTGTAAGCCGTGTGTCGATTGAAAATTTAAAACGCATTTTCTGTTTGTAGAGAACTTTGGCACCCGTATTATTATTATGATTATTATATTAATAATATCTCTTCTATTTTCTATTCATGGTTAAAAAAATAGTTAAATTTTATAGTACTCTACACAATAGACCATTTTCAATTGTTCCTCTTGGCAATGTGCTAATATTTTGACAAAACATTTGTTTAAACATGTATACACATTTACATATGTATGTACAGTAAACAATGAATTATTGCTGAATCAGTTGAGTTGTTTATGTTGTTGTTCTGGTTTATAAGCACTATAGATTTGCCAAATATTATATTTAAAATCCGCATATATGACAGGAATTAAACAGATTATCATCTAAAAGGCACTACAGACTCAAAGTTTGGTCGATTGGTATACAATTTTGTACAATGTACTGAAGTTAGTATAGCCTTATGTGTGTCAAGTTTTGATCAAATCGGTTCCGATTTACTTTAGCTTCTATATATTTTCGTGCGATTATAAATGATGTACTATAGACCCATATATAGGCCGATTGACACAACGTACTGAAGTTAATATAAAATAATATCTGGCAAGTTTCCTTGAAATCGGTTCAGATTTAAGTGTAGCATAGGTCTTGTTAATAAGCGCTAAATATTTTCATATATTATATTTAGAATCCGCAGATATGATTAATTTTCAAATTATTTTTCACCTGGATTAATAGACTCACTCACGCGTCCATATGAATTATCGAAGGACTTGTTCCATTCAATCGGAATATTCGTAAAATACTCATTTTTTATACCCTTCACCACACTGTGGTACATATGTTTGTAACAGGCAAAAGGAATCGAGATCCATGGTTCCTTTTGAGAATATGCATAGAATCACTTTCTGTGTCGATTTACTCATGTTCGTCCGTTCATGTATTTTCGTGAACAAAGTACAGGTCGCATTTATTATCCAATTTGGATGAAATTTCTCTCATGTCACTTTTTTGGTCCAAAGACGAACCCTATTGAATTTGGAGAAAGTCGGTTCAGATTTCGAGTGATACACCAAACTCCCAATATTT